AAGCATCCACACCATTTGGCACACCGTCGTCTTACGTTAGTTCGTTCGTGCACGATCCCCAGCTAGTTAAGCGATCATCTTGCACTCCAATTTGGTCTCGAAATATACTTCGTAATTTGGACAATCAATTCTGGTGTTTTGCTTTGGCCTACGCGGAATGAATATTACAGACGTTGTGGGTATTATATCATGCGTTATGATAGATCATGCTATCCGTAAACGTCAAAAACCACAGTCTCTAAAGAGGTCTGACTTCCACTGTAAGATTCCATCTTCCATCATTGAGTTCGGTAGTTATAGACTTTGCTACTGGGTCGTTTGTGATCATGATTCACTTAGTGTATGATCCCAATGGACACGTTGAATATAATGCTTCTGATCCTTGGTGTTAGCACGAGCTGAGTTTCCCCTCTTCAAGTCTGCCGATAAATCTCACTAAAGAGTATCATCTGACACGTAAACTTGCCTCAGGACTTCCTGTATGTTTTCACCAGCTAGCTGGGTATGATTAATCTAGACTCATGCACAATAAACTTCCGAGAACTGTTTTGAAACTGGTGCAAAATTATGGATTCCACTACAAAGGCTGAAGCACTTGTTGCAAACTCAATGAGAAGAGATGGATCATAACATGTCAACGTAGACTGCAGCTTTTCACAGTGTCTCCTCAATCTTCTAATTATTTCATAGTTGTGGTTTTTAGCAAACGGTTCAGTGAATGCCAAAAGCTATGGTATGGTGAGTGAAAGGACAGCTATGGCTAATTGGTCTCAAGAAGAATTGTGCGGAAGGCACGTTCTTGAGTATCGGTACCTTCTTTGCAGCTGCAGGTGGCCTAAGCGATTCGGTCTCATTGAAGTTAAGCCGCTTCGGATAATGTGACCATTTTCTGTGATTATCAAACTGCAGGACCCACACACTTACTGATGAGTTTGAGACTGACTTAAGTTCAAGATTTCATTCAGAATTCGCATCAATTCATTTGTCACTGTTCGAGGTACACGGCCATGCCTTTTAAGGAGGTAGTGCTTTATCATACGCCACAGGTTACGACATCAATATTGGCGAAGAATAAACGGAATGCGATAGACGAACAGAATTTTTACGAGTAGTTGGACATGAAGTTGATTTTTTTCTAGCCTTTCGCAATATTGGAACTACTGAGCTGGTAATCAGCTGTAAGTCAGTTAGATACTAGCAGTCATCAGTTTTATCATTTTAAATTAAGTTGACATCTCATCCTAGCCGTTTGAGCAGTCACATAATAACATCTGAAAATCCAAGGGATTGGAGACCTTTTGTGAGGATGAGGACTTTGAATTGATTCCCTGTCAGATACTTAAGTCAATGTAGCACATCTGCATGTGTTGAGAAATCATCATTTTCGTATACTGCCAGTTTGAGTCAGCAATATTCTATACATAATAGTTATGAATGGCACATAAGCTGTTGAGTCAGTCAAATAAGTGTGTTCGAGTCTTTGGTGTGATGTTTCTGATGCGGAAACAAATTATGGTGCTTGTCAAGGGTAAATGCGACAAGTTTGTGAAACAACAGGTTCACTTTTAAATTTCATCATGTGTAGCAAGGTTCGCTATAAAAAAAGTCACTAAAATGCCGAGACTGATTTTTAAGACTCATACTTGTCACGAGGACACGACGGAAATACATAATACTGCTCCCAGTTTAATTGATAGCCAGTGTAGGGACATATGTACTTGACATCAAAAACGAATGAAATTGTATGCAGTATGCTAGTAGTTTCAGTTATGCACAATTACTGACCAAAAGTCAGCTCCATCTTAAACTTGTGGTTGTTGAGAATTAGCAAGATCACTGCCAAACATAGGGCGTTGATATGGCATATCCCCAGTTTGAAGTGGCGCCTCCAGCTTTACCTTGGAGACATTTAAGCGGCCTAGTTGATTTGAGTTTGGCTGATTTGTTTCATTTGATCTAGGTAGCTGCATCTGACGTTATTCTGGTTTTTATTTGGCTTGAACTGTGTTGATTTTGTTAAGAATAGTCGTCAAAAGCTGTCTCTAAGCCTGAGGGCATTTATCGTGCAGGAGGATGCTTGAGAATGTGTTTCATGTAAAAATTATAGGGTGCACCTAAAATCCTTGGTGTTAACTGCTGTTTGTGGCGTCTCAATGATTTCTACAGAGCTTCGTTTTATCATTTGTGTCCATATTTGTCGTTCACGAGTGTTTCAGTAAATGTTTGTGGCTATAATCAGGAACTTTCCAAAACGGTAATTGTGGTAAGGAATTCCGCTACAGTTTCCAGGTCAGTGTCGCTTTCAAGTTGCTTATTGTATTTTGTTGGCGATTCGTGAATTTTTAATTCAAAAGCCTCTGTTTTAATTTACAGTGGTACCCAATGAACGCACTGGTACCTGGAGACAATGGCAACCAACCTGCCCTTCCTATATCAGTGGACATCAAAAAATCTTTTGACGGAATTATGTTTAGTCACCGGTATACCAGTTGAGTTCAAGTAGAAGATGCCCTAATTCAGCTAGAATCAGTACGATATATATGGCAGAGTAACCCTAGGCAACTCATACACATTATGTAATGAAGAAGTGCATACGGAACCATGAATCTCAGGAGTTGAAGTACAAATTAGTAGTCTTTCGTTGTACATATGGCATGAAGTGGAAAACTAGAGGTTCAGGTTTACGCGTCAAACCGCAAGAATTCTATTATTTATTTCTGCAGTGAAAAATACACCGGTCGCCAATCTGGCTTTCGTATACGCTGCAGGGAGGACAAGTTCATCATTTGTGCCTCGAAAACAGTTCACAATCACAAATGTGAACAAAGTCTTATGATTGGTGATCCATATTTTAGGCGCCTGTCCGGGGATGAAAAGGAGAATATTGGACCTGTTGTGAAGACTACATCTGAGGCTGGTGATGTTCTGGAATATACTGAGGAGAATTTTAATAAAATTTTGACGAGCACAGATGTGTCTAATTTACGTAAGGATGTGAGACCAGGTAACTGACGTAGTTTAAAGTTATTTTGGAAGCCATGCCTTTGAGATCAGATGTTATGTGCATAATAAGGCAAAGAGGTCAGGTGGTTGAATACGTAGATTCGAATACAGGGATAACTAACAGAATTTGCTTTGACCTGGATTCACAGGTGCAGTTATATCCGAAATATGGGAAGGTGGTGTGTACTGACTCAACATACAATACCAATAAGGACGGGTAGGTTATATGTGAAACGGCTGACAAATCTTAATCAGATATTCTCTTTATCACTTGGTGGTAACAGACAATATGGGTCATGGGAGGCCTGTTTTTTGGCTTGGGCAAGACGAGAAAAGGCATGTAATGTAGTTTGGATCTTGGAAGAATTCAAAAGAATAATGCAGAAACTTTCATAATGGATTTGGCCAATTGTGAGACATCCGCCTTGCGTAATAGTCACATTCAGGCGAAAATCGTCATCTGTGCATTTCATGTATGCCGCGCTTTCAGCAGGAGGGTGAGGTGAAGTTAATTAATACTTGATACATTTAGACTCGAAATCCTTTTGTAAGCAGGTTTTTATATCGTCTTGTTAAAGCTGTGACACCTGAAAGGTAAATGCATTGATTACTAACCGTTTAGATTTCATCACTACCTTAGCGTCATTAGGACGGTTGATCGAAGGGTATGGAATTATGTCAGGCATTACTGGGCGCCTAAGAAAGAGACGTGGGCTGCGGCATATATGCCGAATACTCTTCTGCTGTTTAATAGTACCAACAATAGAGTTGAAAGCAATTAACCATAAATATATCAGGAAAACTAACCAGAAATCAATAGATCTGAAGCAGTGAACGCTTCCGAGACAGGGAAAATGCCATTGGGGGGTTATCGTCATTAATTTAAACAGTGTGAATCCCGAATAATAATAATTTATATTACATCCGATTTACTCAACAGCCACATACAATGATTAGAAAGATTCAGTACCACCCACGTCACATTTGTTGCGAGTTCTGCGAACAAATACCTGAACCCTAGCTCCTGGAGGTCTTTGGTTGTTCGCAACTGTATGTTTCTTCATATCTAGAGGATTTCGGATTCATAGCGTCTCGCTGAATTTTCTCTAAAAAACTTCCCTAACATTCTCGCTGAGTTCAGTTCCCATGACATTTGTGCCAAACTGAGAACCAAGTAACAGACTGACCTAAGGTTTCGGAAAAATGGATTCTGAAACTGATGAAAATATTTTGGGAACTAGTCATGCAGCCGGTCTGACTTATAGTTTAACTTACTATTTCAAGAAATAAGTGATCGGAAGCAATTCGGAAAATTCAGTAGCCTATGGCTACATCAATATCAGTGAAGTTTCAGCTAACTAGCTAAACTATAACCGGTCAGTCAAGTACCATCACCACTTTTAAATACAATGGTAAAGCTTTGAATTGTCCAAACACCACGTCTACCCAACTAGCAGCGTTCATACTTTCACCATCAGGAATTCGTTCTTGTTTTTCTTTAAATTACTCCTGATTAGGAGTACACTTATGATAGGAGACAACATATCCCCAACACAACCAGGCATATCATGAGTTTTAACTTTCACAAAAAGAATCCATGAAGATTACCTTGTCTGCTCAGGCTCCCTCTATGATATAATCATTAGAAAATGCGCGCCTGCCGTCCCAGTCGCGTATCTTACTGAATGTATACCATATTTTGGCTTTCTGTGGTTGAAATAAATTTATTAAAGCTCTTATTTATTATATACATTATTATTAATTAAATTATATTTAGGTGTCTTTCAGTCGTCATAGTAACAGTAAACTCTGTAAAGACAATTTTTCATTTAAGATCGGAATAAATTTGCACGATAAATTACGATCAGATAGCATATTTATTTAGTAAGTTAGCATATATCACTGAAAAATACTTATCTTACTTTTCCGAAAGTGCAAATATTTAGAAGTTGAGAAAATTGATTATGAAATATGCTACACATTACCTTCGTCTTTTGCGGCAATACAACTGTGACCTTCACCGGTTCGAACAGCTGCGTTATTTTTTGTTGGTATTGCTGTCATCTCCTGCGGCTAACGCAGCCTCTTAAATTGTCTGCGATGGTAAGTCCTTCAAATTTGGCTGCGATTTACGGTTCAACAATTCATATTCCTTGGTGGGTATCAATGTATCGCATCTATTATAATGAAAGTTAAAAACGCGTTGTTTAGACATTGCCATTTTATCGCCTAGCTGCAACGATAAGATGTTGTTTGCATTTGGTATTTTCCAGAGTTGTACGGTTGGATGTCAGATGAGTTCGGATACTGATTTTCAAAATAAACTTTGGCACATAACAGTGCGCACATGATTAGCAAAATATGTAGTTTCCCTCAAAACCTCGATAATGTCTATTTTTAAAACAAAATTTCTGCTGTTGAGATTATTTTTTAAGTGTGACTTAGCATAAAAAATGACCCCATTGTAGGGAATAGTCACTACTTCCGCGTACTTCGAGAAATTGTTGAGTTGCGACTGGTGTAAATAGATGTATAGAGGAGTTCATTTCGTTCTTATTTTTTCCCTCAGTTTTCAGTTGCAGTTTTAGTAAACAAATTTTATTCTACATCCAACAAATGAACTAATGATACCGAACAGTCTCAGAGGATGTGATATTATAATAGTTGACTCAAAAGTACACTGTTTTAGTATTAAGAATGTGACTTTCGATGGTACAACTTTATATGGTATCGTGCATGAATGTTTGGCTTCTATAAAAAGAATGCCGTTTCTAAATAGTTTGTGGTATATTCTAACTTTTATAGGAATGTCATTGGTTTTTATCTTGTAAATCAATCATAAAATTTCAAAGTCCTTTGGTGCCTTAACATCGGGCTCTTCTGTTTCCCCCATGGATTACGACTTGTAAACCTCCTACCTAAGTACATTACCGTGCTTTTCATGGTGATAATTCCCATACATCAGAGGTTCGACCATTTAGTTAATTTATCTAGATCACTTTGTGAGACCGACCTATCATCCTTATTATTTACAGTTTTCCAGATCTTAATATCGTCCGCTAATAATAGTACGGATGAGGCAAATATTTTTGGTGATCCACTGACGCATAATGAGAATAACAAGGAGCGCTGTATAGTTCCCTACGGTACTCCACTCAATACTGCTTTCCATCCTGACAATACGCTATTAAAACTTATCTTTTGTCTTGTACCCATTAGATAGTCCCTAAACTCACATAGCACTGGTTTAATAAAAAACCTCTTAGTTTGCTAAAGAGACCTAAATGGGACACTGTATTAAATGCTTTAGTCAGATCGATGAAGACGTCCAATAGTACATTCTTATCCTTAGCTAACAGTAAGATTGTTAGACAGGATCTTCGTGGTCGGAATCCATGCTCTTGCCCAGCCAGTAAGCCATGTTTCTCCAAATGAGATAATATCTGATCCTCTATGATTGTTTCTAGTGCCTTTGCTATAATGCACGTCAGCCTTGCAGGCCTGTATCTAGATTGAGCTTATTATAACATCCTTCCAGTTGCCTAGTCTAAGTCACAGACATTTTGAAAATTTCCGTAAGTGGGATGTCTATTATATCCATCAAGTTCTGATGATTTACCTGATTTCAGTTTAGACAGTAGTCGAGGAACCCTTGCATTGTCTACCACATTTGGGGGGCATTTTAGTGACGATGGCTAAACCCCTGGGTGGTACGATCAGACGAGGAAGCGTCACAAAAGTATTCAGAAAGGTTTTAAGCTTTTACTTCATCTGATTTGGACACTTCTGCATTATTGCATATCAGTGACGGTATGCAACTGCTAACAATAAGTAACCTGAAAAATTGGGTTTTACTTTACAAAGATGACTGGTATGAAGTCATGTAAAGAAATCTTTTGATTGTAAATTTCCGTTTATTGCTTGACCGTTGTTTGGCTACTTGTCACTCAGTTTCCCTGTTATCATACTCCAGACGGTTTATATACGTAAATCACTGGTCATTAGATGTCACGCTAACTTCGGTCAGTAGTGTGCACCATAAAATCCAATACCTCGTCCTTTCAGAGGAATGCAAGGTCGTTTGCTTGATGGTTTTGAGGTAATCGAGAGATTGTTGGGCAAATATGGTAGTGATCAGCTTCCTGTCTTCTTACTGTTCAGGACCTTCCGGAATTAATTGTATCGGCTTCGTAGCTGAATGCATCCTATATCCGTTCAGTCAGCATACATGCCCACAGACTAGAACGTGATCGGGGACTTAAGCAACAGTTCCAGAAAGGATAGTGGTCTTCTATCCATCTATAACTTATAGCTACGTGGTATATTTAAGTTCATCGTTGGTTGGATGATGGAAGTCTTCAGTTTAGGCAATATCTTTCCTTATATATTTGAAGTAGGTGCTGGTGGGGAACATGCGATTATCTGAACAAAACTGTTAAAGGCGGTCACCGCTGTCGGTTCGTTACGTTAGGACTAAATATGTGCCACCAATATACTTTTCTAATTTTCATAGCCTCCCTCTTTGGGTACTGTGATCATATGAAAAGATGAATGAATCTGAGCGTTTTTATTTTATTAGAGAGCCGGACAGCCTTTAATAAAACTCAACCCCTACTTCGTTGTAACTGCTGTCAGTGTGCAAGTGGAGATGAAGAAAAACTGACAAGTTTCAATTTCTATATTATTACTCATGCGAACGGTACAGTTGATTGTCTACTGGGATTTTTCGGAATATTGTTCTCTGGAGCTCAGTGCTTTCCTTACACCCAGAGATCTAGAGAAGTGACCAAGTTATCTCCTGACATGTGCAAAGTGGATTTTTTATATTCAGTTTGTTGGTCAGACGAGGTTACTCGAATAAATATACTTTGGTCTGGTACGTATGTCTCAGTGACAACAGACATCCAAATCTCGAGTTCGTTGGGACATTGCGATATGCCTAGCAGACCACCACTTAAAGGTAGCAGTCATCTGTCGACTGATGTAACTGAGCAATAGGCTTTCATTTTCGGGTCTATGAATTACAATTTGGGTAGGAAAGCTTTTGTTATCGCCCACTTACTGTAGTATGTCAGCTGAGGTTTACACTCGGTACTAACTAGTTTGTGCAAAAATGCTTAAGCTGATAAATCCTATGTCATCCTGGACAGAAGTATTCCATCAGCTTATGAATGATCCCCATCCAGACATTAATGAAAACAAAACACGCAGTTCAGAGAAGAGCCTGTTTTCGGTAAATTCGTTTTCTTTAGCTGAACAATTGCATTTATATTCAATTTCCACCGACTTATTCAACTTCTTTTATGTATTGACTAACAATTATGATTGTGACGACTCATCACTTTCGTTACTACCCTCTTTCATCAAAAATATTTTATATGAGTGCGACTGTACAGCTTAAAAAATGAATTCGCTGAACTATGTGTTTTGTTTTCATTTATTCCATCATTCTCATATTTTCTGTATGTGTGCTTTATATATGTTAGGAAAATACTGTGTCGACAAGCATTTAATCTTCATTAGTTTGTTTGTAGGAATTTGATTTGTTTCAAGTTTGATCACGGACTGGTATCAGTTAGCGAACCACTGGAAAACTACGGAGGAATGGACAGCTAAAGACCGGCTATGGGATGATATTGCCTGGAATTCTAGTGAGAAGTTATGACCAGTAGGGTCCATCCTTCAGGGGTGTGAAGATGACTACCCACTGACAACATTGGTTGGTAAAAGTTAGAACTCATCGGCCATTGAGTCGGATCTCAATGGCTGAATGGTCTACAAACTCACCATGTAGCCAGAAAGTCCTGAGTTCGAAAGCCTGTGGATGCATACTGATGATGAGTCCCAAACCAAGACGAAGTAGATGTCCAGTACTCCATAGTTTTCAATGATTTTCTAACTGATATCAATCCATGATTAAACTTGAGATGAGCATTAAGTCGTTCTTCTGTGTAGGTTATTGATTTCCTTCTTACGTAACAGGTAGCGAGCCCGGGGATTTACTTCACTATTGCGTATCCTTCGACCACAACTTAGGATTAACCCGAAGATTTTGTTGCTTACCGTGAAAAAGTTAATTAACACTGGTACATCGTTGGCGATTCCTAAATATTTCAATTTTGATATCAAATGATGCAAAAGACGTTATCCTGAAACTCGATGCAGTCTACAAATGTGATATTGATAGGATTTTTGTGTCATGAGTTACATATAGCTATTGTCGATTACAGAAGTTTCGGAACGTTGATTTAGTACTTTGTATTTCAAAGTTAGCATCTTGGTGGAGAATTTCAGTGGTGCTCACAGATCTTGACACGTGCTGTCTGTGGTTCATTTCATTGCTGGTGATCTTACCTTTCTATTTAGTAACAGGGTCTATGCGCTTATTTTCACAGGAGCAGGTGAAATGATATGTCACAATCAGTGGAACTTTTTTGATGAGGGTACTTGGAGAAAGTAACACACTGAATTGGAGCAAAGAACGTTTTTCGAAGTGCTCTTAATAATCAGCTCCAAGAAATTGCATCCTTTCAGTTCCTGTCCCTGTTTTAAAAATGTCTTTTTTGTGGGTTTTTTCTTTATTTGGAAATTTCGTCAGTATAATTTTGGTAATGAACTTTGTTTTAGATGGGGGTCTTTCGCAACAACTAGCAATAAAGCAGTCACAACCGCTTGTTAGTGTGCTAAAAAATAATTTACAACTTCATGACTGCATTAACTAACATAAAGTGTGACACAATAACTTATGAAAAATGTAACTTTTCAGTGTTTGCTTGTAGGGAATTCAATGATTCCAAGTTGAATATCATCTCCAACAGATGACACTGCTTGGTGGTGACGTTATATATCTCGAATAGGTAGAAGTTAGAATTCATGGGTCATTGCATCTATGTCCCAGCTGGTGAATGGCAATTTGCTCGTTTCGCAGCTTGAAGGAAGGTCTAGAGTTGAATTCCTTGTGTGGTCATGAGTGAGTTATGTTGAAGAATCCCAGACTAAAAAGAAACAAGTGTCCGGCTCTCCCTGGTTTTCAATGGTCCTATAACTGATTTTGGTTCGTGATGACGCCTGCTTGTATTCTGTCTTGTATTCCGTTTTTTATTATTTGCAGAAACATCGTGGTGGCGTTCCCATATATGGACCATCACGATCTAGTCAAGCATCTTCCTCAAGACCGATCCGTTCAACTACAAAATCTGATTGCTATTATTGTAACCGTTTTGGAAAACGTGCTCGAAAGTGCGGACATAATGATGTATCATCCTTCAAAAGGCTTTCAACAGGAAGTCTTTCGACCCAACAGAACCGTAACATGAATTCAACTAGCACACAAGGTAACAACTAATAGAATATTCAACAGTTGTATCCATACTCATCTTTGATTATTTCAGTCACCTATCTCAGAAATTTTTTAAAAGATTTTCATTTGTTCTCACTTCCAAGTAGGGCCTTTCCAGTGGCATAGTAGCTAGATTCACCTTTTGTTACCACTTATCTGAGCAGTATTGCCTAGAATGTTTGTTATCGTATCATACTAAAAAATATCAGTTGGAGTGCTAGGCGACGAAGAGTAATTAGTCTACTGAGCAAATTACAATAAAATTATCTCATCTTGACGTATGACTTCTTACTACTGGCTGTAAGAAAATATCGGACAGATGGTCACTATTAAAATGGCACTTGATAATACGGCATAAAACAGTACAAGTTTAACACTGGACCCCAGTTAACAGTTTTTTTGTTGTATTTGATGTATTGCAGTAAAAACGAAGAAAGATCTTAGTAGTGTTTCATGTTTTGTATATATTCACCGACAACGGCTCATAGCTGTAACGGAAGTTGGATAGTTTCCTTAGAATATCTAAATATTTATATATAACTGCTATAGCTGTTAACTTTTATGTGTAAACACTAACACAGAGTAAGATAATCGACTATAGCTTTAATAGTTACCTCCGTAGGGGGATAGGCTTCATTTCGAGTCATCTGTTTGACATTGAACATACGCTGATTTAGCCACACTTAAAGTTAAACGTTAGTGTATGCGGAAATTGATAATTGGAAGAATTCCCTACACCCACAACGTGGCAATGAAAATATTAGTACTATATATTAGGGATGAACATGTTAACAGTATATAAACAGCACTGGTGATATGCGTAATAATTCATAAAAACAGTGATAATAGTTTTGAATAATCATCCTCAAATATCAGAGAAGGTGAATATAAACACTTTAGGCTTATTGAATGGAATGAGTGACAAAATATCCCTGCAGTCGTTGGTTCTTATTTGGGAACAGTAGAAGATAAAATCTAAAATTGTTTACTGACAATGACCAGCATTCGCTGTATACATGGAAAAGGTAGTGATGATATGCAAAAGTAGGTAGCTATTTAAACGTACGAGTAAATTAGTAATAAGTTGTATCATCTTTATTCGTTTTTGTTTTATGTTTTTCTTTCGAATTCTAATAATATGATAAGAATGAACTGTTACACAGAAATCTACAGTCCCATATAAATAGCCGTTATTTAACTGCATTGTCTCACAAAGGCTGTTACACAATATTCACTGGAAATTTCTAGTTCGCTGATAAAAACAGAACTCAAACAGAATAAACTTGTTCCTATGTGGAATGTAGCTGTTACATTTCAGGTTCATGTCTTGTCAATGCCTCATATGGATTGATTCCAGGTGTCGGTTGGCAACCCTTAACGTTTCTCCAGCTAAATTCTGTTCCAGCTAACATTGCTCGAGAAGGAAGGCGGCAGCTGTGTATGAGCAACACTTGTCCTAGGCATTTCAATCGAAGCGGTTTCACAACTTTGTCTATTGACTAACCCTTCTTACCTCAATGTTACTCACCATATTATGCCACTTAACAACACATGAAACAGAATGCAAATGTCTGTGATCAAGGACAGCTAGCTTTTTCAGATCTGCCACATTCAACGGCCCTGTCAATGTCTTAAAGTGGGACGGAGCGAACTACTGAGCAATGCACATGTCCTGTGATCAGTAGCCGGATAACACGTTTGTGCTAGGGATGACACAAGTTGGCAAATGTCACACGAGATTTCTGTATCCATGCTGAGATTTTGTCAGGGACCAGTCCACTGGGACTGATGTGACTTCTTAAGTAAGTGATGTGGTCAATAAACCTAATTACTTCACGTGCTCCTCTAATTAGGAGTCCGTGTTGACCAGTCCTGTAGTATCATCTTACATTTGACTGGGAAGAATCGCATACCAAACATACCAAGGTTTCTCTTGAAGGTCTTCAGAAGACTGCATTTAGTCATAAAAGAAAAATATCATGTACGTACTCTAAATTGACGAGACTGCACCCTAACCCTGAGCCATCTTCAGGTGAAGAAATATGACAAGTGCTGGACGCTGGTAAGTATGCTTGTGTTCCAGAACCTGTCGTGAGATACAGATACGGTCAATGCATTTTCGTTCGTGCCTAAAATCTGTTTTTGTGGAGGATCATCGGGCTTGAGATTTTAGATATTATGTTAGTGAAGTTGTCCCCCCCCCATGATCATCATTTATCTCCCGCATAAATTGATTGCCTTAGTTAATCTGGTCAATAGTCCATCATCACCGTCCTTAGACGTCCCTGAAGTCATACCATTAAGCCCCACTGCCCTGCCTTGTTTCAGATTAGGGATAGCTCTCATAACCCAAGTTATAGTTGGATTGCTAGTGTCTGCATCGGGGTGGGACTAAATATGTACCACCAACATACTATTCTAGCCGTCACAGCTTCCCTATTTGGGTATTGAGGGCATATGATATGATGACTGTATTTGAGCGTTTTCCTTTTAATAGCGAGCCCGATGGCTTTTGATAAAACTCAACCTTTACTTCACCCAAACCCAAGTCTTTTTGAGCCTAACTGGAGTGAATACTGCCCCTCCAGCTGTCGACGGACACCAACTAGGTAGTCACTGTTTATATTTTCAAGTTGTAGACTATTGAATTTCCCTAACTGAACGATGCTGTTTCCTTCGAGAACTGAGGCTTCTGGACTCATTGTTATATGTGACCCGTGGATATGTTCTGCTAAATAGCATCAAATCGAAAATAGACAAGATTTCTTCAGAACTGCATAACTATTCCTGTATTTAGGGAACATAAGCCAATGGGATTTTAATATATATTTTTTGCATGATGTCTTATGGATAATTCTAGCATAAAACTTCGATTGTAAGCTATATGATGCAAATCTATGTATTGACCATTTTGTAGCGCCACAGCTGTCAGCACCGCCTCAAAGGATGGCACCACCAACAACAACAGCAATGCCTACAAGGGTAGCGCCATCGCTGCCTCAGTCTTCTGCACCCTTCACACCTCCGTCCCCACCTCCCCCGTATCAAGGTCCAGCGGGTTATGCTCATCCACCTCCTGCATATGAAGAAAGCGAATTACCACAAGGTAAATTTCCTATTCTGTCTGCATTTTTACTCTGTCACTAACTGGAAATTCTGTTTTTTTTCACCCAGTCAAAATACTCGATGAAGCAGCAAAATCTCACCGGCTGTTGAATTAAGCCTCTTAATTACATTGATCAACTGATCAATGAAATCCATTTTCTAACTAAATCTCACCTTCAACACATAGGGGTGTTTTACCTGTTTGTTTTATGACTTTGAGATACATAAATACTTTTTGGCCATCACAGCAGGCACTGAATAAGGTCTCCAAATAAGGATTAACTGTTCAGTACTCACTACCATTAAAAATACTAATCTTTGATTCACTTTAGTAATCCTTGTTTATGGTCATTTGTCTAGTTATGTCACATATTCCAAAAAAACAGGCTTATCAACAAACCACAGTCTGAGGTAAATAACTACAAGACTAGTTAGTTGGTATGTTTTTTACGAAGTATTTAAAACGCCGTAATATATATATATATATATATGCAGTCAAGTTTATCAAATCAGAATCTTTTTTAAAGTTTATTCAGATTTCCGTCGTAAATCAGTTTGAAATTAATTAAAAATTGTCCTAACTTTGTTTTAATGTGTAGTTTAATGAGTAGTATAGCCAGAAGCAAACAATTAGTTGAATCAACGTTATGCCATACTCAGGAGTGCATCAGTCCAAGTTGTCAAACTTCAACACAATTAAGACAGGTAAATGTGACGGGGTCCTCTATAAATTAAAGATGAGTAAAAATGTCCACAGCGTTGGTGGCACAGCGGTAGAATGCTCGCCAACCACGTACGTGGTCCGGGGTTCGATTTCTGGCCGACGCACTCATGTGCCTCGCTAAGCCAGTAATAAGACAGGTAAAGAGAGAAGGTTAGGCATAAAACTAGCAACCCTATCCCCACTGCTACCGAAACTTCAGGCCTCTAGCTTGAAGCCCTTCGCTCCACTGGGAACGTAAAGAAATAAAACAATGTCCGTAATCGCTGTGCTAATGCAGTGTGAATACATTAGCGCTATCGTGACTTAATTTTCGCCCTGTCACCGAGAGTCTCTAACTGTTGATTTCTGAGTTTCCTAGCCTACATGAGTCAAACTGCTAGTGGTAACCACTCCATTCCCCCAAAATGATACCATAATCTGATCTACTTAGTCTTCGATTCCAACTATCCTAATTTTTAATTATATTAACATCATACACTATGTGTAACCAATTCCCGGGTGACTTCAAATAAAGATTCGTAACCTCCCTGTTTTACTTGTCTGCCCTACCCAACATTTTACATCTACACAGACGATGCTATAAAGAGTTAAGCGGTCAGAAAGCCTGAAATCTTTTCATGTCTACTTTCAGAAGCCATTTTTCATAACCATCAAGCACTACAGAGTAATTTTTGCACTCATCCTGTAATGGGTAATCAGATATCGTGTTGGCTCCAAATATCATCTAAAACAATAAATTATTCGTTGTTGTTTCACTTTATATAAGTAAGTATATAAGAAGGGAAGAATTGTATCAACTTTCTATTGAATTAATTCTCAAAGAGAAAGAAATATTTTCTTTATATTTCTGTACTCTAAGAGCTTTATTATTTAGATACAATGTAGAATGGCCTTATCTAAAATACTGATATCTTGGTTCCAACCTCAGACTTGCACCCAGAGAGAGGATTTATGAAAAGACTGTTAGTTGGACATTCTATGGTGTATTCTGTAGTTGTACAAGTTATTTTGTCATCAGCTTCAAACTACGCTACTATTATCTCTTAGTTGGTATCTTTCATTTTCTCGCTAGATGACAAGCATAAACACCAAACTGCGAGGAGAATGCACTTCAGCAGTATATGTTTAGATTCTGAGCATTTTTTTTAATGAAAAATGTTTTTGTAATTCGGTCGAGTCGAACAATGCATTTATATTTGTGTTTGTGTAATTGACTATCAGATTTGACTACGTTGTAGTATATTGATTCGGTAGAATATGTAAATCCCGACCGATAGCTGCTACCTTGACGTGGTGGTCGGGCTTGCATATCGCAATGACCCAACGAGCTACACTGGCTGGAACTTATGTTCCTGTAGGTCTTATCATGCCAGGAAGGTTGTTTGGATAGCGGTTAGACAAAAAGCAGCTACCCAATCCAATACTATGATTCAAACAAATTCACAAAATATCATACCGGATCGGTCAGGGCCCGGATTAACAACGACCGCGCTTCCCGCTGCCGTGTCACAGGGCAGAAGTGATAAATATGCTACAGAGACACACCAAATGAATAAGAACAAACAAAAACAGGCCACGTGTGACCGGCCTCAAGCAGTTGTCCCCTGGGCTCTGCGGTCACACAACACTAACCCTCTTTCTGTTTCAGGTTCCCGAAGAATCAATCAACTTCCATGGTGCGGGCAGCCGGGAAGTAACAACCGCCCACACACTTCCATAAGCACACGAAGCCTTCCTTACTCACATCACCTTCCTCATCTTGCTTCCCTACTACAGTTAGCACTATTCTTCAGGCTAGTGAGTCATGTTCACTTCACTCCTTGTCCACAAACAAAGGTGAGAACAATAGAAACACCCCAGATAGCCTTTTGAAGCCACGTCGCCAACTTCATATAGGAGCTTTCAACGTCAGGACAGTCTGCCAAATCGGACAACAGGCGTCACTAGCAAGAACTGTGGCATCTCGAGCCATGGATGTATGTTGTGTTTCGGAGACACGCATACAAGACCCGAGTATAGTCATTCCCTTAATCTCACCCGGTCAGCAAGGTGAATCCGCAAAAGTCACTTTAAGGGTGTCAGGAGACCCCTCAGGTAGCTCGCGAGGACTCGCAGGTGTAGGGATAGCACTGAGTGTTAGGGCGGAAAAATCACTTCTTGACTGGATCCCAGTAGACAGTCGTGTATGTGCGGTCCATCTGAACGGATCCGTTGGAAAGAGGAAGGACGGCGTTACCCGTCGTTGCCTTTTCGTAGTCTCCGCTTATGCTCCAACAGACTGCAGTTCGGATGAACTGAAAGATGACTTCTACCTGAAACTGTATAATTTGCTGCAAAAAGCAAAACGTTCAGACATAGTTGTTTTAGCAGGTGACTTCAACACCCGAGTAGGGAAGTTGTGCCAGACTGAGACGTACGTAGGTGGTACGTATGGAGTTCCCTGCCGTTAAACCGACAACAGTGATTGTCTTCTACAGTTCTGGTCAGATAATTATCTGTTCCTAGTCAGCACTAACTTCAGGCACAAAGAGAGACACTGCGTAACCTGGTGACCTCCATCACCAAATCAACGCTGGAGTTAAATAGTCCAAATATCAATAGCGTATCGTTGGTGAAGGTCAGTAGAAGACCGCCGCTCCCTTTGGAACACGTGCGTAGACTCTGATCACGCTCTGGTTCTCGCACGTTTATGCTTACGATTTAACGGACATAAAAAAATTGTTGGCAGCGAAGCAGTTACGCAACCACAACTAGATCGAGACTCTGAGTCGCTATTTAAGGAAGAAATAGCGAAACGTGTATCTGAGGTCGACAGCAGTACTCTTCATGAGGTAGCCTGGCACAACATACAGTTAGCTGTAGGTACAGCTGTAAAAGCTTTTAATAACCTAAAACCAAAAGTTAGTAAGAGCCATTGGATTTGTACCACCTCATCCGAACTGACTGACGCAGAAATACTGATTCCTGCGAGCTCCGATTATGATGAGAAGCGAAAGCTACTCAAATACAAACTAACAAGAAGTCTTCGTAAGGACCGTGAACAGGGGTGGGCAATAAAGGGGAAAGAGATGGAAAAGGCATCGGCGATTGGCAATACCAGACAACTATTTAGACTCATTAGGGAAACGACAAGTGAAACAACCTCTGAGAAAATGGCACCATAATTAGTTCCTAGGATAGACAACTAGGACGTTGTTAAGAACACTTTGAGGAGCAGTTCAATTGGCCTACAGCGACTCTCAACTTACCGAACATCCAACACCTCCCTGAATGGGATATAGGCACAGGTCCTCCGTCTCTAACTGAGGTTACTAAGGCTGTCACTAGTCTGAAACAAGGCAAAGCAGGACCTGATGGAATGACTCCAGAGGTATTTAAGTACGGTGGAGACAGTTTACTGTCTGAGTTAACTGAGGTTCTAGGAAGCGTCTGGGAATGAGAGGAAGTCCCGTCAGGTTGGTGTAAGTCACTGATTATTCCCATAAACAAGATGGGAGACAAGTCTTCCTGTGATAATCACAGTGAGATTAGCTTGACTAATATGTTATCTAAAGTCCTAGGCTTAATAATAATGCGTAAACTAAGTGGTGCTCTGGAGGCACAAACACGAGAAAACCAGGCAAGCTTTATATCAGGAAGAGGGTGTATTGATCACATCTTCACCCTTAGACAGATTCTGGAACATAGGCATACTCACCACCGGCGTCCAGCAGTCGTTATATTTCTTGACCTAAAAGTGGAATTCGATTCTGTCGACCAAGAAGTACTCTGGCGATGCTTCGCTACGAAAGGGTTGCCAAGAAAATTTATTGCACTGATCAAGTCACTCTACTCGAACTCATGCAGCCAGGTGAGGGCTTACGGCGAGTTGTCATCTGAAGTGGTGACAACTAGTGATTTCCGACAGGGATGCCCACTATCACCACTTCTATTCAATTTCATCACAAATGTACTAATGGACTTAACCCTAACTCACTTCAGAGACTCAGCGATTGACTTAGAATATGCAGACGATATAGTCCTTCTAGGCGAGGACGCTGACAAAATGCAGAGTCTTCTGAACACCTTGAGCTGCAATCTACGAATGTTTGGAATGCGATTCGCTCCTGTTATCAAATGTAAGATACTGCTACAGGACTGGACTGGACTACACCGACTCCTAGCTTCTAAATAGGAAGTGAAGTGGTAGAGCATGTTGACCGCTTCACTTACTAGGGAAGTACCATCAGCCAGTGCCAACGGATTGATCTCTGACGAAATCTCAGCAGGGTGCGGATACAGAGGGCTAGTTTTGCATATGCCAGTTTACGCCGTCTCTGGCGTAGACGTGATACCCGGCTGACTATCGACCAAAGGGCGAGTGTATTGCTCAGCAGTCTGCACTGTCCTCCTTTGTGGCTGTGAGACCTAGCCATTGAAAGTGAAAGACAAGAAGAGGCTAACTGTCTTTGATCATAGGTGCCTGCATTCTATCTCCCGTGTGAAGTGGTATAATAGAGTGAGCAATACTGAGGTAAGGCGTCGAGGCTGGGTAAGGAGGTGAAATCAATCGACGAGGCTGTGAAGCTACATCGACTGAGATGGTTAGGACATGTGTTACGTATGCCTAGCCATCGCCTTCCTCGACAATCGGCAATGTTAGCTAGCTGACATAGGGTCAGGCTGGAAAAGAGCTGGTGGCGGTCAAACCAAAACATGTCATCAATCAATGAAATCCACAACAGTTAGTTTAAGCCAGCCACGTAGGAAGGTGTAGACTTCGTGGTTGGGGTCCTCGGGACGGTAAAAACCAATGTCTGGAGACAATTGGTGATATGGCTCAAAATCGTCGTTGTCAGTGGCGCAGATGCATCCACTTCTTGTGACTTATGATTTCCAATTAAACTGTTTTGTTCTTCGTTATAACTATTTCTTTGTCTCACATCTCTGTTTACTGTCTATATCATGCATTTCTAGTTTCTTCTCTTGCTTTGTGTGCTACACGGAGTGTGGCGACTTCAACTGCTGCACATCGGTGCAAAGTTCTATGTCGAAAACAGACAGACATACAGAGAATATGTAAATGAATGGTGACTAAGCTTAGAAACTCTTCTGATAACCGACTTTATTCTCGAAGTACTATGATGAATATTTGTGTCTACATTGACTCTGCCGGATAAATTGTCAGAGATATTTGAAAGGTTTGTTTATGTGGATAGTGGTCTTTCCGTATAAGAATATCTTTTAGAGATTTGTATCGTGTATATTGTCTCTAGCAGTTAGCCAACAAGATGCCTTGGAACTAGGTGTAATTCTTATTGACACTCATTTGCAATGAGATATCTGCATCGGCATAAAGTGTAATGATAAAGCGGATGTTTCTCAGATGTAATAACTCTGGGCTGTAAGTTGGCATCCTTCAATGGATTACGGTTTTATTGGTGATGCAACATCCATGAGATCATCAGATATAGCACACCAGATAAAGCGTGCAATAGTGGTCGTATACCAGACAATTGGAAGCGTTTTTCGTCATGTGTATCTCTGTATTTTACGCATTTTCCGTATTTTTGCTACCGTTAATTTGTTTTTCATCTACTTAACTCTTCCTACAATGTGATCACATTTGCAGATGCTTTTGCAATGAAACAGATTTGTATATCCAACTTATTCATCAGATGAAAAGTCCCAAAGATAAATTGATAGAGTTAGCCTGGTGTTATAAGATTATGTTATAACTGGCCAGCGTAGACTTTTATTATCCTTATTCTAATTTTCTCAAACCTGAATTACTGTGGACCTGTTGGCACTTATCAGCAAAGCCTTTCTGCAGCCTTGAAGTAACTTATGTCCCCTCTGAGATCCTAACCCGCGTCACCCAGTTCAGCAATCAGAGATGTTAGCACTAAGCTGTTCGGGCTGAATCTTTCAGCGTACTTAAAGTAAGATCAGTCTGTTAAATCATGCCTGTGTTAGTCTGTTCACATGTAACAATAAAATTAATTTATTAGCCATCATTTTATTGTATGATTAGTGTAACAGATTATTCTCATCCTTATTTTTCTCTAATCATAAATTGTAGTTATTGTGACCCAACCTCCTGCTACAATATTCAAATGGAATCCTGTAGGTATCGTATGTCCATACTGTCATAATAGTGTAGTTACGAAAACTAGATCTGAGGCTGGTTTATTAGCCTGGTTGTTATGCGGTGTTCTTTGTCTTATGGGGTAAGCATTTTTCTTGATCATACCATTTAAATTTTCTGTGATAAGTATATTTCCTTTTTTGAATTGAAATAATACTCGTTCTCAAAACTGCACATTTTTACCGATATGTCACTTCAATGTTCGATAATTAAGGTATAATGCTGCTAGTATGATATAAATGCTAAACATACGTTACACTACAGCCATTAACACTTACATGTATTTGGTAGTAATCCACACCTATTCTTTGAGAGCTGTTGATATTACCTAACTCTACTCAAATCATAGTGTTGTACATTTAGTGGTGGGGTTCAAATTTACGGCTCAATAGTTGAAAAACAAGCGGTCAAGCTAATAAACCACAAGTCGCATTGTATCTTAGCAGTGAGATTGACTGTTGAACAACAGAAATGATCTCCTACCCTTAAGTCTCCACTAGCCCTTATTATTATTATCATCATCATTATTTATCACACCGTAACCCAACAATCCTGGGAACACATTGGTGTTAGTGTCCTACTTCAGTCAGTGTGTTTTTGAGTGACTACTCTATTAAATTTTAAATATCCCTATAGAAAAATGTACGAAAAGCAAGCTATTTATACAAAATCTGATGTCTATCCTCGGGATATTAGGAATTCATGAATGTAGAAAAACATTTTGTTGGATCTAAGAGGATAATTCGATATTAGTACAAATGAAATGTATGTATCACATCTACACTTATTCGTTGACTTACTTTTCTAATTGGTGTAAGACAACTATTGAATTCACTACAATACTTCCTCGAATGAGGTGTTTCTGTTTTTCTTCTCTGGATCTTTGTATCATGTGTGTAATACGCTTTACTAACGATCTGGTACTACTTAACTTTTTAAATTTATAATTATAGTTATAGGTAGTTTACTGTAGAACAGGACAGTCAAGCTTCATCATATAAGACCAACACGACTTTGTCTGCATCTCTAAAATAAAGTTGTAGACGTATGTTAGATATATACATACTTTCTAGTTACACTTTCGCAATGATCGACTGCCTAGATTGTATAAACAGTCGCATGTATTCACCTTTGTTACTACTATCACTAATACTGTGATTAGCTTTATTGTCATCATCTACCAAACCACCTAACGCGTCAACTTTAGTTCTGTTAACCACATTGGTATCAAGTGTCTGTACTTAATAAAATTTTATTATTGTAAAACCTGGTGCGAAATTACCGAAAATCCATATTTGTCTAAATTGGGTTCCCTAACATATATTATTCCTTCTTTTACCTAGTTTTAGTTTTTAAAAAATATTATATATGTATAACAGAGAGACAATGCTGCATGCCAAGTAATCCACAATGGGAAACTTACGGAATCCTTCGAAGTGAGGACAGGAGTAAGACAAGCTGGCTGCCCACTATCGCCAATGATTTTCCTGATTGCAGTAGATTGGATAATGTAACAAACAGCGGACAGTGAGGAAACAGGCACAAACAACTTGGAGGATCTGGACTTCGCCGATGATATATGTCTGATTTCCCACAAACTGGAAGATATGCAAGCGAAAAGCAACAAGTTGGCAGAACAAGCATCAAAGATAGGACTTCCTTCAGGTGAACATAGAGAAAACAGAAATGATGAAGATTCCTGACCAACACCACCACCAACAACCACAGACAACAATCAGCATAAATGGGAAGAACCTGAAAGAAGCAACCTCCTTCACCTACCTGCCTGGGAAGCATCATTTCAACTACAGGCGGAACTGACGAGGATATCAAAGCGAGGATGGGGAAAGCAAGACAAGCTTTCACTACTCTCAAGTCTGTTTGGAGGTCAACAGCACTCAGCATCAAAAATAACATCCGGATTTTCAACTCCAATGTGAAGTCAGTGCTACTTTATGGATCGGAGACTTGGCGCGTCATAAAGAGCACCTCAAACAAACCACAGACCTTCATCAACAGCTGCCTTCGCTCATTACTCAATATCAGATGGCTGGCCATAAAAGATCATCAACAGGGATCTCTGGGAGCGAACCAACCAAGAACCAATTGTGAAACAAATAGGCAGGAAGAAATGGAGATGGATTGGCTGGCCATACTCTGAGGAAACCATCAAGTGACATCACTAGACAAGCCATTGCTCGAGTGGAACCCGAAAGGGAAGCTGCGAGTTGGTTGTCAGTGCAAGGGTGACATGGAGGAGGTCGTTTGAAGAGGAGATGAAAATGTGTGGGCAGACTTGGAGCCAGGTGAAGACTGTAGCAGAGAACCGAACGCAATGGAGACGCGTGGCTGATGCCCTGTGTTCCTCTAAGAATTAAAGGAAACAATAATAATAATAACAGAGAGGGTTTGTTGTAGCTCAGGTGGATGATTTTGATGTGGTTGCGTTCTCTGAACTGACTGGTTTAATTGCTAGGCTTTCTCACATGTCCATCTAGCTGACCGGAAACATGTTCAGCGCGGACTTTAATGCGAAGATATTGTCCAGAATAAAAAAAAGATAATGAAAACTTCTCACACATAAATCACCCAAATGAGAGGACACTATCATATCAAAGTAATATATGGAAGTTTTGTTTTTAACGATTTTGATATAAAAGATAATAAGTGAAAAAGAAATAATTATTCTCTCATTTAATTTCAACTCATAATCACAGTTTACTTTTCACAATTTTAGGCTATGGGTGTTGTGTTGTTTAATCCCCTTTTACCTTGAATCTACGCAAGATGTTGTTCATATATGTCCAGTGTGCAAATCACAAGTTGGCTATTATAAACCATTGTAAACTGAGGTGATTGACTAATTCCACTTTTAATATTCACCTGCACGCATAGATATAAAATAAACAAACAATACACAAATGTGCACCATGTATTTTTTTAGGTTCTATTGTAGTTAAATGAAAGCAGTTATCCCCCTTTTTTTACTTTTATATTCTATTTTTTGTTTTGTTTTATATATTCTTGCGTATAACAGGCATTCTGGCTTCCGTTTGTTATACATTTATATATATATATATTTTTGATACTGGTGATAATAAATGAACTTGCAATATTATTTTTTCATATTACGATTATTATTATTACTACTGTTAAACTGTTGCCATTATTATTATTACTATTATTATTAATATTATTAATACTACTGTTTATTGAGTATTATACATGCAAACAACAAAGAGGACAGTTTGTTCATCATAATCATCATCGTCGTCATCACCATCCTCATCATTTTCAGCCTTATCATACTGATTAAATCACCCTTAATTGTTAGACAAACTTGTCTGTCATCAATAAATTTTGTAATCGCTTTGGATTATACTTTTTCTTCTTTTATGTGAAACGCAGAACCTGGTGGTGGGATGGTTTTCCATGTTTCTAGTGTGTAGTTAACGCTAAAGATGGATGTTGTCTATGCAGACAAGTAATTAAGTCATCCACCTCAGTGAACACAATTATACTAAAAAAAATTACTTTATTGTTTTCTATAAGAAGAAATAGTCTACCCACTTACTGCTAACTAGCACTTCTACCTACAACCACATAAGGACAAAAAAGTGTATTGTAGTAGTAGTTGTTGTTCTTGTGTGTGAAACAGGATGATTGAAATTCAGACATTTATTGTCAAAACGCATAATGCCATTGGTGAACATATTTCTCAAGCGAACCAGTGGGTCAGGCAAGAGGACAGTTACTTACCCTTGACATTGACCGGCGGTTGCGCTAAATATATATATATATATATATCACGAATTGGCAGTGGTTGGAATTCATGGACCCTTAAGTCGGATCCTGGTGACCTAATGGTCTACAATCTCGCATCGTAACCGGGAGGTCCTGGGTTCGAACACCAGGACTGATGAAGAGTCCCGAACCAGGACGAAACAGCTGTCCAGTACTTCCAGGTTTCTCTAACTGATGTCAGCTCGTGATCAATCCTGCAAGCTGCGATAAACAGCATTCTACTTTTATTAAAAAAGTAGAATTAGACATTGTTACAAAAATGGGGATAATCAATAAAATTAGAGTCACACATTAGGTTGTCGTATGAATGTGTTTACTTGATTACGAAGGAGACAGTCAAGGCAGTATGCCCAATGATTCGTAAACGTGTGAACATTTACAAATCAATAAACACTGCGTGTAATGTGTCAGTCTTCTCATTGAGTCAAAAAGTTTTTTTAAACAGTAGGTTTGAATAGGAAGGCTATGAATCTAAAGCTAATACCTAAACACTCACTTAGCCTTAAACGTATGCCTAACCCAACCATGACTCTAAGCTAATCCTAACAGTAACAGGAAAGAAAATCCGTATAGGGTTGTCTGCATAGCTGGTGTGTGAAATGCATGTTAAGATTAAAACGACCGGATTGGTTGTTTAAGGTTATTTGGTATGTCCTTCTTTGGATAGTTTTTCATCACACTTACCATCCACTGCAAAACAGTATAGTGGTCATTTGTAGGTGAATACTGTCGGTATAAAAATAGTAGAGATATTTAGGCGTTCATTTTTTCAGGCTATTTTACCATTTTAGATACCAAAGAAGGGAGAACTAAATTGACTTATCAACATAAAACACTGCCCAAAAGTACGTCAGTTCAGGTTTTCGTATTTCTCATGGAAGTAGACTTAGAAAAGAAATACAGCCAAACGAAAATGTGTGTTAGATAGAATAATTACAATTGTGGTTAGGATGATGGGCCATTTCATGGATCATATCTTCTTGGCATTACGTTAAATCCAGATTTAAGCTGATACAGAAATGGTTATTTTTGAAAGACTTGTATAAAATCTAACTGTTATTTGGGACTTATTTCATCATAGCCTGACACCAATGGTAGGACATTTGAAAACGGGGAAGTCGAAAGTCTTCAGAAAGGCACTTCTACAACCCCTTGATTAATCGGACATTTATTGTCTTCTTTCTCCTACGCTGAATTTAGTCGATGTTTGTGCATTTAACTCACGAAGGTCATGAGTTTCGTCCCCCTGTGGAATGCTACTTGCCTTCTATCTCACAGTCGTCTACATGGTAAGTCCTTAACATCTGAAACGACGGTTAATCAGGTTGTGTACAGACGGCATCAATATCACCTTACTGTGGTAAAAATGTATTTAGCCGACTAATATGTTGAATAGAATGCATATAATTTGATTAAATAAATGATATGAGCATCTAAATGCTATATATATATATATATATATATGTCAAAGAAATGTCATATCATGATTACTTAAATCTTACTTCTTGATTATAATACCTCTATATCTATTTGAAGTCAGAATAGCGATAATTTTATAATGAGTGTGGTGCACGTAGTGAATTTATCTTCTTTTTTGACCTGATTATCGATAATTTCATCTACTTCATTCATTGTATTGATCAGTTTTCATACAGATATTGCTGTACCTGTTGCACGTTTCTATTCAAATAAAACTAGCCTTTTATATCAACAGTCAGTCATAAGGGAACCGTTGAATGACATCACGTGTCAGGGTCTCGAGCAGTACCTGAATGGTAAACGATGAGTTGAACGTCTAAGGGTGGATATATGGTAGAGGTTGTGTTATGTGGAGACGAGACAATAAAGGCAGTCGTGGAGCTGGCTGAAAACGACCGTAGATAGCAGGATTAGGTGGAAATTTGGTGTTGAAGCTCTATGTTCCACTCGGAAGCCAAGGAAATAATAAAGATCAAAAATCAAAGAATTTTCATCAAACAATTGCAAAATGCAATCTATCTGAAACGTGTAGCGTATTTGCCCAATACACTTCGGATATTCTTGATGATACACGAACTTGCCGTACATGTTTATATAAAAGGCAACAGAATGTAAAGGATCAGAATTTTCGGCAGAAGGAAGAATTCATAAGCCATCGGAATGAAAATGTACTCGCCTCAGGTTTCAATATGGTCGTGGGTGAAGATATGATGAAGAATCCTGAAATGGGATGAAACAGCTGTCCAGTATTCCTTGGTTTCCAGGAATTCTATAACTGACATCTGCTGAAGACGAAAATTAACATGAAGTAAGGGGATTCAAGTGTTAATATCACACCTTAATCAGATCAGTTCACTTCTACTTCAGACAACATTACGCTGTTATCTTGACAAATGCATCATACACATTTTACTTGATTTGGTCTACATTACAAAATATGTGCATGCACACCTCTTATTTAGTCTATTATAATTTTCAGATGTGGAGCGTTTCACCTGACATCATTTGATTTACCTGATCACTAAAAATGTAAATTTTTATTCACAGTTAGTTGATAGCGTTTTTACCATTAAATATTACTGTTCCTTAGTAAATTTTAAGTTTGTACTGCATGGACCAATGACATGTTTGGTCACTTCAATCTGTCGACAAATTCGTGAGTTATATAGGTCAAATAAAGCACTCACCTTCCAGAAGCATTACAGAACACTGGGGCAGGTGTTATCAGTGGCATAATTCACGACAATCATTAACACACCATGAGCATGTCGTGAATTCGAATCACACAACTTTACCAGAGTTTTCTCTTAAAATTATCTTAAAAAGAAAGCCAACCAGTAAGACAGGATTCAGCCCTAGCAATTCATCAGTTCAGGCTGGAACTTTCTGTGCTAGTTTCCACCGTAGTCATAATCTCCTTACTTTGAAATATTCTATTTTTAGTAGTTCATTCATACTTGTTAAGTATGCTTGCATTGTTTTGTTACCTATCAAGTAATTTCCTGTTTACTATTTCCAAAATAAATAAATATAAGCTTCTGAAGATGACTACTTCGACAAAAGAAATTTGTTTTCCACAAATGTATTTTGTTTTCTTCATAACTTATTAGATATTTACATTTTATCAAGTAATAACTTGAAAACAAAAACAGAAGTGTAATGAAATCCCTGGATATTATCATAGACGAAGAGTACCCAGTCCTACAAATATCCTCTGGTGATCCCTCAACTGAAAATCTATTATAATGGGGGAGGTGTTAGGATGGACAGCCTATCTCTGTTAACCGTGATATGTATACTGACGTGATAGCCAGACTGGACAGTTTTCGACTAATTTATTTTTGGAGGATCTCTAAGGCCATACAATCAATCAGATATTGACTATTTATTTGTGGTTTAAATTTCCGACTAGGTGCAAATGGTGGATATATCCTCTATTGCGAATGATAAAAGTTGTTGTTGCCACGTTTGTCGCTGCCGTGGCAGTTAAATCTGACTTTTGTGTCTAACTCAGTGTGGGCAATATTTTTGGCTATTGTGTTGTTGTAGTCAAGTGAGACGTCAACCACAAAAGCAGTAACACTCCGATATAACAAATATCTATACAACAACTCAGATAATTATACCTTTCAGCATTTTGTAACTTCGTAAAATGTCAGCAAAGAGACTGTATTACACAGCTGCTTGTCAACCTACAACTTTAAAAAGATTATTGCTGTATCGACGACCCACAGTTTGTTTGCATGTAACTTGTCTCTTTATTATTCTTATTATTAATGTTAACAGTATTCTGTTTGAAAATATTACAGAAGTACACTTATTTTTAAGAAGAATAAATCATCTCCAGTATCACACATTTTAGATTTTATTAAGTATTATTTAATTCTAATGCAAGTAGCTTTCCCCAAGTTGTTAAACTGCTTCTTTGTGGGCAGTATATATCGTCATCGATGAAATATTCTGCCATCCTTGAAATAAACCAATCTCAGAAAGATGGATATGTGCGTGTTATCATTCATATGTGTACTGTAATAAAGACGAGTGAGGATAGGGGCTGTCGTAAGGATTTTTCGCTCATAGTGTAGCAAACATTGCAACAGATATTCTAGCTGAGTAAAAATGTTGATCGAATACCTTTAAAACAGCCAAACGTAACATCTAATGTGGTTACAGCATTCTTTTAGGCCTGTAATACAACATCAACTAACTGAGGAAGTCATAATTGACCTCCTCTGTTCTGCCTATACAAGTATGCTGAAACGAAAGCGCGGCTAGTTGGATTTGCGATAGCTTATATCCTTACTCGATAAAGACTACAATTAGAACAGCAATGAACTGCATTTGATTACAACTGTAAATTAAAATAACTCGTTTTTCATTTGAATTTAATCTGTACATACAGCTAACCAAATTCTGCTTTTAATGAAGAAATAAAGATGACTTGAAAGTCACCACAGTATTCCTCTTATTTAAATATTTGGATCATTCAGGAGGT